TATATATATATATATATATATACATATATACAGGGTGTCTAAAAAAAATTATCATAAACGTGGCTAAACAATTCAATTTTTACACAGGACGAAAGAACAGTTCTTAATGAGCTTTTCAATGATACTCCTTTTAAATTTTAAAATTAGCTTTTAAAAAATAGCTTTTTTAAAAGATATGTAGACCAAATAACTCAACTAAGTGTTATAGCGCTTCTACATATTTGTCATTTGAAAAACTTAAACCAGGATCAAAGTTATCGGTCAGTGAAAATAAGAAAATTGCGCTGCGTAGTCGAATCGCGTCCGGTGTGTGTAGCCGAACCTCAACGCAAAACAAAAAAACGAGTTACACACACTATGCGTACTGTAGATCATTGAAATTTATGAGAACTCAGATGTTTGAGATTATCTATAGTGCGAGCTGCGAGTTGCGAGTTGCGAGCTGCGAGTTGCGAGTTGCGAGCTGCGAGTTGCGAGTTGCGAGTTGCGAGTTACGAGTATATTGTTAATTTCTAATAACATCGGGTTTAATTTTAACCCAGGGTTAACACTAACCTAGCTTTGAAGCACCGAACCAGGTGTTTACACCTGTGGTTAATTTACACTAAAAATTCAAATTGAAAACTGTATGGCATCCTGGCGGATGTGATTTAGCTTTGTCTCAATTTGGCGCCAATTTTCAGCTTTTGAAATAAACATTCATTGCATTTATTTTTATACTTACAAACTTGTAAATAGCAATCGTTTTGATATACTGATGGTTTTTTCCCGTGTTTAGATAAAGTTTATGTATGTATATGTATATATGTATGTCTATGTATAAATTGTATAAAATAAATTGTACTTCCGATAAAAAGGACTTTTATAGTTTTATAGGGTTCCCAGCGTTCAGTATATATAAACAAACTGAGTCGGTGTCTGGTCATACTTACTAATAAAATTAAATAACCATTTTAAGATTAGAAAGCACAAAATGGTCTGGATAACTACTAGATTTTATTAAACACAGAAACGGCAAATATAAACTTGCACTTTTATTTTCAAGATAATTATTTTAATTCTTGAACATACGTATCGATGGATCTAACAAAGTAAAAAAACAAGTAAAGGCCGATTTTTATCTCGTCCGTATCGCAGCATTTTCTTTTGTGTCGAAGTCTTAGTTACAGGGACCTTAACTTCGAAGGTCATTATATTTATGAAACAAAAAACCCTTCGACTTTGCCTTCCATGTCGTCCATATTAATATACTTTCAAAGCCTAATTCAAAGCGAGGCTAGCGACTCGCAACTCGCAACTCGCAGCTCGCAACTCGCAACTCGCAGCTCGAAACTCGCAACTCGCAACTCGCAGCTCGCAACTCGCAACTCGCAACTCGCAGCTCGCAACTCCCAACTCGCAGCTCGCAACTCGCAACTCGCAACTCGCAGCTCGCAAAATAGCCGACCCCCAGATGTTTAATTGTGTAAATATTACACTCTATCATATTTCAATTTTCAATTAACCAAAGTAGTGCACGTTTCTACCTAACTTTTCTTCAGTGTGAATTATAGTAACACAGGGACTAGTTTCGGATATGGAGCCAGATTTAAGCGATGTCTCGTGGAAATTCTTGTCCATGCATGAAATTGATGGTCCCCGAGATTTGCGATGACCATCGCCAACTTTATCGGTCATGTGTCGGACATGCTGTACAGCGGTTATTGCCCTGAATATTGCCCGCGACTGCCCGAAAATTTCCCGCGAGCACGTTTCAATATGGCGACAAGGAAAAGAAATGATGTTGATTTATACAAGGCAATTGGATAATATTTCTTCAGTTGTGTTGTACAACATAGCCCGGAAAAGAAAGAGAAAGACTCTTCCGACACTATATATTGTGGAATGAATAATTTCAAAGCGAAGAACGAAAAATGTAAGTAAAATTCGTGCAAAGTTCAACGTCTCGTGGTATCAGTTTTATTTGAAGGAATTTGTCTTAAGTTTGCTCTATATATTCTCAATGGACAATGAGTATCTAATCAAATGGAGTGGTTGGCCGTTGACTAGCTGTACGTGGGAACCTTGAAGCCATCTTAGTGAAGAGTTATTGAGGTATTAAAATAAAAATATTATATTTATTATATCTTACCCATAGTTTTTTGTTCTAAAGCTTTTATATATAATGTCAGAGATGATAGATGCATAGTGATAGCTATTTTTATATGCTAACATGTTGTGTCCAACAGAACTGTAGAAGCATACATTGTAGCCATTGCTACATGGTAAGCTAACTTGATAGGCATTAATTTAACTTATACCTAGGCCCTTGCCCTAGCGTAGTCTAGTGGTATTAATTTTAATTCCATTTCAAAAATTGAACTGTTTCACAATACTTGATGAATATATTTTATTCTCTAGAAGTTACGAAATGCCTCCAGTGCCTAGTCATGAAAGGTTGGAAACTGCAAGCAGACAGTTTTACCTGGGAATACTGACAATGCTAAGATCAAAGTCAACTGCACCCACATATGTCCCCATGGGCTTGGATATTTGGCGCTATATCATCCATGGAAAAGGTATACAGAGTCAAACCATAAAGGGTTTAGGTTGTATGCTATATTGAGGACATGTGCCGTATGCAACTTCCAGAGTATTGGTGGTATACTCTTAACTTACACGGAGAAGGGAAGGCAATAATACCTCCTTTTAAAATTAAGCCATTTTTAAGTTGGACGCCCAACCACCAAATAATTAGGGATGGCATATTAACGACATCCATGTAATGTAAATAACTTATAGTACTAAATAAATGATATATACATATATAATTCATTACTTATTTTTAAACCAAACTGTGCATATATAATAAAATATTAAGTCGATATGGTGCCCCCTTCCTTTTTCAGTTTACAAACAGTCAGTGCAGTTTTACATTCCCTCATGTGCATTTTGTACTGCGTCCTGGAACATTTCTTGCAGTCGCTTAACATTCTTCACACACGTTTTAATGCCAATCTTTCTCAGGGCCTCTCAGGGCCTGCCGAAGCTCTATAGGTGACATGTTCTCAGTATCTGGTACATTATTGAATTGAATTGAATTTTATTTGCCCATATGAAAAAGTTAATATTTACAATCTAAAGTATACAATAATATATGACAGGCTAGGAGCCTTCATGAAACCCTTTCAGGCTTTTTGTTCAAAGGTCCCTAGTTCTATAATATTTTTACAATTGTTTTATATGGTAAGTTAATTATATAATGTCGAAAGAATATAGGAATATTTACAAATACAAGTATAAAGTAAGGAAAGTTTTAAAGTAAAAGTAATATAATGAGCTAATTGAACAAAGTTTACAGATAATAACAATTAAAGTATATTTTACAAGAAAAATAATTTTGACTTTTTCTTAAAAGTACAATAAAATGTAATACTGCTAATTTCATTATCGAGTGAATTCCATATCTTAACTCCCTTGTTAACAATAGAATGTTTTGCATAATTTGTTCTACTAAAATTTACATGAAATTTGTTAGCATTTCGAGTATTGTAATGATGCACTTCATTGTTCTGTGCGAAGTTAAAATATTCAGGTAAGTTTTGTAGACGTTTAAACCGGTACATAAATAAACAATTTAAAAAGTCATTGATCTTAAAGATATTCAAGATCTTTAAGTTCTGAAACAATGGCTCAGTGTGTTCAAGATACGATTTAAAACTTATCAATCTGATAATTTTTTTCTGTATATTCTGTATTTTCTGTAGCCTTGTTGGGTACGTATTACCCCATACTAGATTCCCATAAGTAAGATATGGATAAACCAATGCATAATAAATCAACTTAAGTGTATTTTTATTTGTGTAATGTCGTAGTTTTGCTTTTATTGGAATCATTATTCCCATTGATATGTGCTTGTTTCTCATCATCCTTTCTGCGTTTTGCTTTGTCCGCTTCTCTTTTAATTCGTGTTTCCAGTACTGTGCACTTCTCTTCTGGTAGGTCCTTGGTGTTCGGTGAAGTTGTGAAAATCCTTCCACTCTTTTCGTCACAAGGAGAACATCTCGAGCAGCATCCCACTTGATTGATTTGTTGAGATGCACCCTTCTGCAGTCATCATTGTTTTTTCAACGCCTGAATTTAAGAAGTATTTAAGAATATATTATTATAATATTAGAGTAATGTGGATTGGTAAGGATTTAACTACCTGAAAAATACAAGGGAACTTCAACGTTTCGAGCGAAGGCCCTTCGTCGGGAGGGCCTTGCCTCGAAATGTCAAAGATTACTTATAGTTTTCAGGTAGTGAATCCTTACCCATCCACATTACTCTCGTGTTTTTGTTGCTATCAACGCTGGAACAGATCGTTCGTACTATAATATTATATTATTGTATATATTACCTTAGTATTAAAAATATTTTAATAATAATGTCTATTTATTCTATGGGGGCATGGTATGCCATTGCATGCATATATGGCGTGACATTGGATTTGCAATGTCCATCACATACCCCACCAAGAGAAGTGAATAGTTCTATCCACTTTCTTGCCTGAAATGTCAAGAAAAAATGGTTAACTGAAAAAAGTTGTAGGTTTGGGTTCAAATTTAAGCGGATAAATTGACAAGAAGTCACACAAACAAAAGTACAAACAACTATATTCAATAACAACCTTGAACATTATTACATGAAGTATTTATAGCTATGGAACCGGATGTGACGTGAACATGCAAATCACAACATCCCCTCTTCTCTAAAAACACCATTTTTTTTCTTCTTTTATGACTGTTCAATTACGACTACCTAAATAGATGTTCATCTAAAATTAAACTATGATAATGTTCTAGTAATAACACTATAGATAATGTTCACAAGTTCAGTCTTTCAGGCATTTTGCCTTTGTTTCTTCGACTTGACCTTCGAAGCTCAGGGGAGAGCGACAGCATTCACTGTGCTTTGAACTGCGGGATCTTCACTGGTTTACATTTGATTTGTTGCATCATCAGCTTGTAAATCCTTACTTGTAGCGCAAACTTCAGACGGAATGTTATCACTGAGCTGGATTTCACTGTCACAGCTAAAACTTTCACCAGTTGGATGAAGATATTTTCGGTTTCTTCGCAGGAATGAACCTCTTTCTGTCTCTACCACATACGACCGAGGGGTAGACGCTACAAATTGTATAGTAGCAGGCTGCCAGACTTTAGACCCAGGATCAAAGAAGCGAACAGGACTGCGCGCTGGAAGTGTGGGTAAAAACTTTGATGACTTGTCATACAGAATCTTTCGCTGGTCTTGTCGATGTTGTAACTTCACATTGACATCTCCGCTAGCCGAACACGACGGACTTGATACAGCCGGTAGATTAGTTTGGTATATTCTGGAGTTTAATAGTTCTGCAGGTGATGGAAGATCGTGACTCAGGGGAGTGCTTCCCAAGCACAGCATAGCTAAGTGAGGATCAAGGTTAGATTCCTTGCATTTCTGCAACAATCGTTTCACCGTCTGTACTGCTCTTTCACTAAGACCATTAGATTGAGGGTACATAGGACTTGATGTAAGGTAGGTAGGTAGGTAGGTAGGTAATACTTTATTTAAAATTAACAGAAAGAAGAACACGCTAGCCCCATCAACTCTAGGCTGGTTTCCATGGGGGGCGTGTTTAGATCTTAAAAATCATTAAAAGGAAAATTTAAACTAAATATTAGTACACACATACTGTACACGTTACTATATACAAATAATTAGGAAGCATGTCGCTGTCCAACAATTGATTTAAACGAATGGGGCGACTCGGCCAATTTTGCTTCGTTTGGGAGTTGATTCCAGAGCATAGCGCCGCTATATTTAAAACTTTTTTTAAGAAATTCTCGTTTCGGTTTAGGAATTGTTAGATCAGTTGCTGTGTTTCGAAGATGATAATTAGTTTGATCTATTTCTCTTCTCACGAATGACCCCCGGAGACCTGGCGCAGTGTGGTCGTTAAGTATTTTATACATTAATACTGACTTGGCACCAGACCGCCTATTTTCAAGTGTATCCCAAGAAAGCATGTTGAGAAGATCAGCTGAGCGAGTATCATAATTAGCACCCGTTAGGACTCTTGCTGCACGAGACTGAAATCTTTGCAACTTGTCTCTTAGCAACTTACCACAAGTGTCCCAAAGGGGGGAACAATAATCAAAGTAGGGCTGCACAAGACTTTTATAAATCGATTCTAAGGTATGCATTGGAACAAAGGGCTTTATACGTTTCATAGCGCCAATAGCAGCGCTCGCCTTCTTGCATATCATTTCAATGTGACTATCCCAATTAAGGGTTTCATCTAGTTTTACTCCTAGGCACATTTGTGTAGCAATTCGTGATATGGGTTTTGCATTAGCCACAACGGGTTCCTCACACGTTATATTATTAAGATTATACGGGGAGCCAATAAACATCATTTTACATTTTGATGGATGCATCTGCAGCCTATTTTCTTTAAGCCAGTTACAGACATGGGCAATATCTGAATTTAAATTTACAACAAGTTCGTTTGCATCGTAGGAAGATGAAAAGATTTGAGTATCATCCGCGTACATGCATGGATTAGTTGATTTCAAACAATCGGGCAAATCATTAATATATAATAGGAACAGCAGTGGTCCCAGTATAGATCCCTGGGGCACTCCACAAGTGATAATTTTATTACTAGATAATTCTCCATTAACATTACATTGCTGTTCTCTATTTGTTAAATATGACTCAAACCATTTTAATTCTACGCCAAAAATTCCAAATTGCTCATTCATTTTATTTAACAAAATGCGATGTGTGTAAAACCATACGTACGACTAAATTCTTGAAAGGTAGATGAGGTATACTGTGGCCATTGTCGGAAATTATCTTGCTTGGAATACCATCTGCCCGATATAAATCTGTGGCTGATTTAGTTGTAGTTTTTATTTAGGATGGTGTCAAATTCCTCGGCTATCTGCAAATAAAATTTGCAGCTCTTCACAAAGTCAAAACACAGCTATTCCTGACTAGTTTAATAGTTATAAACATTGTAAATTTACCTTGTAATTTCGACTTTCGCTAACAAAAACATATTGTGAAAGTTCTTTAATCACAGAAGGTGCTCCTTGTCTTTAGTTTAGGTTTATTTTTCTTCGTTTTGAATACTTTGAAAGACTTTTAGACTCTTTTAGGCGTTTGAAACTCGGCTCTCGTCGCAGGGCCAGACTCGTCCCCAGTCGCTTTAAGAGCGGGCGCGCGGCCAGAAGTGGGCGCGTAGAGGCTCACGGCAAGGGCGAAAGAAGAAAATTTAGCGACTGGCAGATTACTGTGATTTTTCTTGCAAGAAATTGGTTAGCCTGCGTGCAGGCCCAAGGGAACTTGATAGTGGGCCTGCAACCATCACCCCATGTTTTCGATTTTCGCCGGCCGAACCGCCGGCTAAATTCCCATTGGCTAGCTGAGGTGATCGGTAATTAATTAACCTAGCCCATTGTGCAGGCACAAGGGAACAGTGATTCATCACAAAGGCATAGACAAAGGCTCTCGATAAGCTTAAAATTTGAAAATTGATCACTTTTTTCGATTACAAATGGAACAAGAACGGACTGTTTATTGTTTACTTGAAGGAAGACATGTTTTTGCCGTTATGCCAATGGGGATTGCTTGTCGTGAGGTGTTGGAATAGCAACATTACGACCGGGGTAAACTATAGTAACCTTTACTTGAGTTTCATTAATTTCAAACAGACTTCAGTTGATACGTTATGTGTTCTCACTTCCTCAAGAAAATTATCTTTTGGTTGATGTTGAGATGCAGTTGCATGTAAGAACTGTAAGCCTATTCGAAACACTTTACAAGGCTTCGCAGAGAGAGCGAAACAGAAGGCGGTATTAAATTGCCGTTTGAAACGAAACGAAACGAAACGATCTGGACTCGGAACGCTCTCTTCTTTTGTAGAGTTCTTTACCAAATGAAATAAATTTCGTACTTTCCGCCGCCAACAAGAATTGCACACACGATCTGATAAGTGAGACAATTTATTTATAACAATGCCAATGGCGACAGCAAAGCACACATAATATAAATCCTAATGTGGTCGCCCGACTTCCCTCATGATTTGAAGTTTGAGACTGGTT